ATCAAAATTAGTTTTTCATTCAAATATCTCCCCAGATAAATTTTATTTTTATTTTCTCTTTAATGACCCTCTTAAAACTTCTAACTTTATCAGGCTATTTCAAAATAAAGACTGTAGTAGTGAAATTATATGTCAGTTAACTCAGTTGACTTGAGCTCTTAAAAAGTAATAGCCGATTTTAGATATTTATTTCACAGTACAATGAATGATTTATTGAGGAATACCATTATGTCAATGCATTAATCACACTTATATAGGATAATATGGAGCTCCACAGCAGCTTGAGCCTCTGCTTTGGAATTTACAGTTGCATTAATGAGCTACTGCTCACATTTACTTTCATAATTATAGGAGATAAACACAACAAATTGCTGTATTTCATTTTCTAGAATGCAGATCATAGTTAGCACTAATTGCTCAATTCCTTTGTGTTTTTCAAAATTCACATGAATAAAGTTGGCATGATTGTGAAGATTTAATTGTATTTTTGTTGACGTCTGATCATATCATTTGTGCTTATTTTTAGCAGTGCTTTGCCTTTTAAATTATGAGAATTGAGAAGAAAAAGCATTCAACATTTATTGAAGAAAAAAATGCCCAATACATTGTACTTCAAAAACACACACATTAATAAAACAAAGAAACTTTGCATTTTGTTATTCTAATATCAGCTTTATATAAAAAATATAAATACATTTACATATAAATATAATATATATGTAACTAATATAATGTATAATATATAAAAGGAATGAATAGAAACTGGGGATTTAATGTAGAAATTAAATTTAATTTTAACACAGTATAAAAACTCTCTGTATTCAATTATTTACTTCACCCCTGGATAATTGTTGGAGTGTCTTCTGTAAAGTAGCTCTGTGCCATTTTTATTTGTATTTAAATGCACTTCAGCATCCAAACATCTCATTACTTCCTTTGTCCGTGTTTACCATGTGTACTGTGCCATTTATACATTGTTTAATATATGTATCATTATACACAAGCATGTGTGACTTACTGTTTTATCCACACAGGGCCGTTTTTAGAATGTTTGCACTTAAAGAAGTCTGTGGACCCGAGGCTGATAGGAACATATATCAGGTGGGCTTCATTGCAGCTTTAAGACAGCACAGTGACATAAAACCTTCAGAGTAACCCAGAATGCGGCTATCATACTTCAGACATAACCAGACACTTAAAAATTACACGTTCCTCTAAAAATCAATAGCTTTGAGGACAAAATTAAGGTCAGAGAGATGAAGTTGCCTCCATGTAAGTCCTTGTGTCTGGCACTTGAAAAAATTTTGTGCCAGAAATCATACCTGTTTTTGTGAGCTAGCACATGTATTATTTCCATTTTTATAAATTTTTGTTTCACTGTATTCTTCTTCTTTTCCTCATTATTTTATTGTTATTACTACTATTATTATAATTATTACTATAGTTTATTAACTTTTATCTGGCTGTAGCCCCCTCCCTAATCTACTCCAGGTCCCCTGCTTCCTCCTTCTTCCTCCCCTATTCTTCTCCCCTAGTTTACTGATAAGGAAAATCCTCCTCCACTATCTGATCCTACCCTATCAGGTCTGATCAGGACTGTCTGGATCCTCTTTCTCTGCAGTCTAGTAAGGCCACCTCACCAGGGGAAGTTGATCAAAAAGCAGGCAACCACAGTCATGCATGTGACTGGCCCTGTTCCCCTTACTATGTCACCCGCATGGAGACTGACTTGCCCATGGGCTACATCTTAGAAGAAGGATCTAGGTCTTGTCCATGCATGGTCTTTTGCTGATTCATCATTCTCAGCAGGCCCTCTTGATCCCAAGTTTTTTGGCCCTGCTGGTCTCATAGTGTAGCTCATGTCCTCTCCAGGTCTTTTTTTTTTTTTAATTAAAAATTTTTACTTTTTTCTTAACAGTTTATTCATTATATATCCTGATTAAAGCCCATCCATCACCTTCCCCAAGTTTCACCAATTTTTACTTTTTTCTTAACAGTTTATTCATTATATATTCTGATTAAAGCCCATCCATCACCTTCCCCAAGTTTCACCATTCCTCCTTCTTTCCCCCATCTCCTTCCCCTATTCCACTGAAAGTGGAAAGTCTCCACCATTGCCATCTGCCCATACCTTGTTAAGTCTCATCAGGACTGTCTGGATCCTCTTCCTCTGTGGCCTGGTAAGGCTGCATCACCAGGGCCAAGTGATCAAAGAACAGTCACTGAGTTCATGACAGAGGCAGCCCCTGCTCCCCTCACTCAGAGACCCACATGGAAACTGTGCTGCCAATGGCCACATCTGAGCAGGACCCCTCCATACATGGTCCTCAGATGGTGCATTAGTCTCCGCAGGACCCTCTGAACTCAAATCTTTTAGTTTTGTTGGTCTTCTTATGTTCATAACAGCTTTATTTGTAACAGGAAGAACCTGGAAACAACCTAGATGTCCCTCAACTGAGGAATGGATGCAGAAATTGTGGTACACCTACATAATGGAATACTACTCAGCTATTTAAAACAGAGAAATCATGAAATTTGCAGGTAAATGGTGGGAACTAGAAGAGATCATCCTGAGTAAATTAATCCAGAAGCAGAAAGACACACACAGTATATAATCACTTACATGTGGATATTAGCCATATAATATAGGGTAAACATACTAAAATCTAAAGCCCTAAAGATGCTAAAACAACAGGGAGGACCATAGCAAAGAACCTTAATTCTCATTCAGAAGGGTAAACAGGATAAGTAATGAAAGTAGGATAAGACAAGGAACAGGACTGGAGCCTTTCACAGAGGACTTCTGAAAGTCTCTACCAACCAGGGTATTGAAGTATATACTAAGACTCATAGCCAAACTTTGGACAAAGTGCAGGAACCTTTGTGAAAGAAGAGGGAGATAGGAAGACCTGGAGAGGACAGGAGTTCCACACGGAGAACAAAGGGGCCAAAATACCTGTGTCCAGTGGAGCCAGAGAATGATACTCCAAACAAGGTTCATGTATGAAGAGGACCTAGGTCCCCTGCTCAGAGGCAGCCCATAGGCTGCTCAGTTTCGAAGTGGGTTCACTAGTAAGCGGTACAGAGTCTGTCTCTGACATGAGCTCAGTGCCAGGCTCTTTGATCACCTCCCCCTCGGGGGGTGGTACAGATTTTCCAGGCCACAGAGGAAGATGATGTACTCAGCCATGATGACACCTGATAAGCTAGGGTCAGATAGAAGGGAAGGAAGTCCTCCCATATCAGGGGTAACGGGGAGGGGAGGAGGATGTGTGTGGGGGGGATAGTGGGTGGGTCTGGAAGGAGATGAAGGAGGTGGCTGCAGCTGGGATACAAAATGAATAAATCTAAATAAATAATCAAAGGAATAAAGAAATGTCTGGCGTAGGAATATATATACATATGTGTGTATACATGCTTTCAGTGATATTCTTTTGTGTGAGAAAAAGTCTTTTGACAAATATTTATTAAATTTAGTCTTCAGATGTGAGTGAATATTTTTTACTTATAAGTACTAAAACCTTGGCTTTATAATTCTACTTTTAGTGAAACAAAATCAATAACTATATAATAAACCTATAACCATGATTTCTCTATTAAAAAATATAGGTTGACATAGAGTTTTTATTATTTAAATTGACCTCTGAGAAAGTCTAGTCCTTTTCAGCATCATCAAGTAAATTATCTAACAATATCCTACCTTGAAGCTTCTCTACATTAAAATATCTGAAATTGCATTAGTTACGTATTTATTGTTACAACTTAAATATTTATTTTATGCTCAGTTCCTCTGTGCAAGCTGCACATTTATAAGCTGACTGCTACATTGTAAATTATATCTCATAAAACATAAATTATTTATATAGTGCTTTATAATTTACATATACAGAAAAATTCTCAACTCCTTGTACTAGAGACACTAAACATAAACATGTTAGAACATTCCATATTGTTCAAGAATCCTTCTGCTAAACATTTCAATATTTTCCAATATTATCTTTAATACATGTGCTTGCGTGTTTGTATGTGCCTGTGCGTGTGCATCTGTGCATGTCTGAGTGTACATATGCTTGCTTTTCTCCAAATATCAAAGCGAGAACCCTACAACTTACAGGCAAAAGGACATGCGCATATTCATTTTAATGTAATAAAACAGTGAATGTTATACTTGATGTTTGCTGCTCGTACTGAGTATGAAATGTGAGGTAGGAGATGACAAAATATTCTTTAGTTATTTTGTTATAGGAATTTCATTCAAGAAATTACTATGCCTATTCCCCATTTAGTTATTAAAATACACTTCACATTTTCCAAACACAATAACATGATTATTCTAAAATTCTGTAGAAGTATTATTAAAAAAATGTTGTTTCAGTACCCCATCCTTCCAAACCCTATTCTTTATCTTTTATTTTTTATTTCCTTTGATAATTTTACCTACATCATTTGTCGCTGTATCAGTTTTGATAGTCAACCTTACTATGTACAAAGTCAAATGCCTTTAGTGAGTAGAAAGTATTGCTCCATTAATTCCACATTATGGTATACATTGTCTTTCAGAACTTGTATATTATAACTCTAGTTTTTAAACCTTTAAAAGGAAATCTCTATTTTTTCTGTGAATCACTTGTATCAAAATAATACATCTTCCTGTAATTTAAAAGCATAACATAAGAAATAATTGTAAAGACAATATACATGAATTTAAGGTTAATCTTACATAAACCATTCCAAAGAGTCACACATACAAGAAGAACTTCAAAATGCAAGTAAAGTTTAATTACATTTGGTTACAAAAAAAATTTAAAATACTACTTATCAATTGATAATACTGCATCAGGATGCATATGATTTTACATTATAATTAACAGCAATTGAAAAAGCAAAACATATTTTAAGCATAATAATGCAAATAACTGGTCATCAAAATATCCAGAAAGATATTATAAAAATGAGATAAACGAAGGGAAAATACAATGTTTTAGTAATTTCATGCTTACCTTGATGGCAGTGGATGCAATTTGGATATGGTGAAGTCTGCGAAGGGTGCTGTCCCTGTCAATGAAATAGGAAGCAGCCAACTGATGTAAGGTCTCCAAAGTGACAGATGAACTATTGGTGCTGGTTTCACTTCCGTCAGAGCGTTTGCTCAACTTCCGCTTGTCCACAAAAATTGTGAGTGACTCCTCTCCTGTATTAATGATATAAAATGATTATGTTTCCCAGTTAAAATGAGTTTTATACATATCTCCAGGAAAGAATGCCTATGAATTGCTGTGAAGAAACGATTAGTAAAAAATAGAAAACTTAATGAAGATTTTAAAGTTTCTTATTGTTTTCTTTTACAAGTACTTATAAGTTTCACAGTTATTGCAGGCTTTTGATGTATGTTTGGCAAACTTTAAATATTGAAATAATAAAAGACAATTTCATTAAACTAATTGACCGTTTCATGTAGTATAACTGAGTTAACACATGTAGACCACAAAGAAAAGTATGATAAAATACTAAGTAAAGTTTTGAAACACAGTATTTTACAATGGGAACAGTATACCAGGAAAGAAACAATAAAATATAATTAGTATTGTTATACACTTAGAATGAACAGCATCTCTGTTTTATTCATGTGTATACAAATTAGTAACACATTCGTAAGTTCCCTTCCTGTTATGTATTAAAGGTACATGAATAAGCCCCATGTAAATCACCAAGCTCAATGAAGTTGTACAACCTGATAGTGGACAGTGGACTCTGAGACAAGACTTAGAGAGAGTTACAGGGAGGCCCAGTTTTCCAAAGATTAAATGCTAATGAACAACTCCCACATTATCTAAGTTAGACATGAAGAACTTTTTTTTTTCCTTTTCAGACTTGCAATATTGAACATAATTGCCAAACCCGCTGTATGTCTGTCTCTTATGAACCCATCTGTTCTGGTGGCACTGTGCCCACCTGCAAACTGGCTATGCTTAGAAAAGGTAAAAAAAGATCATCCACAAGAGCAGTATGTCTCTTCTCTCCTTCTGAAAAATTGATGAATATTTTATAATACCATAGTTCATGAGATCATCTAATGATTGAGCCAATAGACATCTGTATTACAGCAGCTCAATTTAATTCATATTATAGCAAGGTGTTAACATAATCTATTTATGAAAATTATGTGGTGGAAATGATTTAAAATATTTTAACATTATTATTATCAATACTATTATTATTAGTAGTAGTAATAGTAGTAGTATTAATTCACTTTATATCCTGGCTGTAGCCCCCTTACTAATTTCCTCGCAGTCACACCCTCCCTCTCTCTTCTCCTCCTAAAATAATTTTTGAGACTACAATATGATTAAGTCATTTCCCCCATCTCTGAAAACCTAAGGAAATGTTTACTATAATATTTTGGTATAGTAAACTGTGTAGGCACTGTTGTAATTTTCCAGGAGGTCTTCATGATACCACAGTTTAAAGGACAGTGCTCTGACAGCGCACAGAGAATGGGTTATACTGATAAACATATGTAATGTGCTGCAGGGAATTGTATATTATTCTGAAACTAAACGAATGATGACCAAAAAATGCTTATACAAAATAAGACACTAATAATAAGAGTAGTTTACAATGGGTTCTAAAGTGTTAGAAATTTAGATATGTCTCAAAGAAGCTACTTTCAAAAGCATAATTAGCAAATGTACTAACTAGTCAACATATTTTTTTTTTTCCCGAGGGAAGAATAACATCCGTGGAAAATTGACACAGTAAATCTAAAATAAATGAAAACTAAAAATAATAAAATTACCTATTTTATTATATGGTTTAATCATGAGCTTTTTTTTTTCTTTTTTTTTTATTTTTCTTTTTAGTTACATTTTGTTAACTCTGTGTCCCAGCTGTATCCCGCTCCCTCATTCCCTCCCCAACCCCACACTCCCTCCCTGGTCTCCTCCCTGCCCCTTTCCAAGTCCACTGATAGGGGAGGACCTCCTCCCCTTTCATCTGACCCTGTTTTATCAGGTATCTTCAGGGCTGGCTGCAAAGTCCTCCTCTGTGGCCTAACAGACTGCTCCTCCCCGGGGGGGGGGGGG